CAGCTCGCGAGCACTGGCGTTCGCATGTCAGGATTTTGGGCTTAAGGGTTTAGGGCTTTGGGGTTTAACGAGGGCGTGTGTGAGGGTTACAAAGTTTAGGGCTTCAGGATGTAGGAAAGCTGGCCTGAACAACGAGTTCAGTTTAAAGATTTCACCAGCAAGGAAGCGCTGCAACAGCAGCAAACGGAAGGGTACCGCCAGGCATTTGGCAGCCGGGCAGTAGAACGGGAAGACGCAGCAGTCCATCCCGGACAGCTTAGTACTAGCACAAGATGGAAAAGTCGTTGGCACTGCAACCTCAGCTGTTTCGGGGCATCAGCCAGGGCGAAACATTGCGATGGCTTTTGTTATAAGCTGTCATAAACTTGGTGCCGATTCAGACGAGAACCGAAAAGCTTTCATGGCGCAAGTCTCAGAAAGCGAGACGGCTGACATTCGTTCCCAGAGACCCCAATATCCCTTAATTGGGGAATATACCTTAAATCCTATTAAAAAACTCCAATATCCCTTAATTAGGGAATATACCTTACATCATAGTAAGGATCCTACTATAATTTAAGGTATATTCCTTAATTAAGGGATATTGGAGTCTCTGGGTTTTGCCCAGGCCCAACGGAACGGGACAGTATTCATAGGGGCCTTAATAATTACCGATACTGCCGTATTTTGGGGGTTCGTAAATACTATTATAGTATACTATACCCCCCCAAAACCCTATTCTAACGATTAAGGAATTCAGTATTGAAACAGAAGCTCGCATGCGTCTTGGTCAGCAGCTACAGCCTGCTATGTGGGAGTTTCCGAAAATTGGGGTACCTTATTTTGGGGTCCTTATAATAAGGATCCCATTATTTAGGGTACTATATTAGGATCCCCTATTTTCGGAAACGCCCATGTCGCTATGTGCCGGGCGGGCACTAGGCCCATGCGGCTTCTGCTGTAATGATCATTTCGACTGCAAAGGTAGCAGTGTTCCTTTCATCGTTGCCGCCTCTCAATCTCGCGGAGACTCCATCGCCCAGGAAGTCGCCTATGCAATGGATCTGGGCGGGGGGCTGATGTTCTCCTAGAGACTTAGTAGCACCGTAGGTGACCTTTAACTTTAGTTTTGTTTTGGGTAGCATAATTGTACCTGGACCTGAAGAACCGACTTTAGGGGACCTTTCGTATACAAGAAAAAGTAGGTGCTTTAGGGTCCAGGTGCAGGATTTGAGTCTGGGTTCAAAAAGGGTCCAGGTATGGGTTTATGGTGGACAACCTGTTGGTTCCTTGAACGAACTCCAGCGGCGGCACTAACTAGCACGCCGAGGGTTGCTTGTACGGTGCTTTTAAGGGTTCCTATGAGGATACTTTCAGGGATTATAACGGTTACTACACGGCTAGTAGTGACCCGTATAGCGCAGTGGTAGTACCCGCACCCTTATAGGAACCCTCAAGTACAAGTTGGGTTCTGTAACTTCGAGGGTCCGTAAAACTTTCTATTTTCGAATCAGGACCCGAAGACCATGATAAGGAAGCCCAGTTCCATTCTGGTAGTATGTATGAACCCATTGGGAAACGATATTAGGGATCAGTTGGCAAGGTTGGGCTGGTCGAGCGAGCAGCACGGGCGCAAGATCAGTTTCCGTGGCTCAGATGCGATTCGCTAAGGCCGAAGGCTCTGCTAGGACTAAGGGTTTGAACATGTTTGAGTGTTGATTCATGTTTTGTTTTTTGTGAGGGGCTCCTGGCTGGTGACGAAGTTTCATCGATAGGGGTCACCAAGAAGCACCTAGTTTCGGCCTGTCAGTTGCCAAGATCACAAGAGGAGACAACCCTAAAGCCCTAAACCCAAAGCCTCTAAAGGGTTTAGGGTTTAGGGTTTAGGGTTTAGGGTTACCCTGAGAGGAGACAGGGCGAAGACATTCATCGCCCTAGTGGCCGGAGTCCCCCTCACATGAACAGAGGGAGGTTGAGGTTCCGCATAATGTCGCGGCCTTCAAACTTGGAATAAGGTTTGTTGGGGGTTCCTTATTGTAATTTTATAGTTGTAGTATAACAGATACCCCAAACCCTATTCTAATTATCAAGGCCCCTATATTAGCGGATTTAGGGTTTAGTGTTGAGGACGTTAGGTCTAGGCCCTGCAAAAACTCTGAACCTGCAAAGCTTGCCAAACGGATCCTCGAAGACCGATTGCGCTGGGGAGAGTGGATGCACCGAGTGACCTGCAAACTATGCGTCAGGGATCGGAATCATAGCAATTTGACTCCAGATGTATAGGGCCTTTCATACTTTGTGGCGCCCCCCTAAACCTTAAACCCTGAACCCCTAAACCCTAAACCCCAAAACCTTAAAAGCCGGTAAACTCTAAACCCTAAACTCTAAACCCTAAACCCCTAAACCCCTAAAGCCCTAACCGCTAAACCCTAAACCCTAAACCCTAAACCCTAAACCCTAAACCCTAAACCCCTAAAGAAACCCCTACACCCCTGAACCCCAAAGCTGGCCTAAAACGAATTGGTGAGGCCCAGATTTCAGCCTTCGAAGCTTAGGGTTTAGGGTTTAGGGTTTAGGGTTTAGGGTTTAGGCAGTTGCTTCCCAGAGAGCCCAACACCCCTTAATTAAGGAATATATCTTAATTTCTAACATGGCGTAGTTCTCGAAATTAGGGTCCCTTTTAAGTCCCCAATATAGTACGGCACCCTTATAAAAACGACCTAAAAGGGACCAGAATTTAGAGAACTACCCATATTAGGGACCCTATCTAATTTAAGGTGTATTCCTTAATTAAGGGGTCTTGGGTTCTCTGGGTTGTTTTGACCCCAAACTCTCCACCTGAGCTGCAGCTGAACACGAGCATTGCTGAGCACACCGCCGGACTTTTGCAATGGCCACAAACCTTGGGTGCTATCCGCGTTTCAGAGCAGCTTTACAGGATTTCCTAGGAGTTCGACGCATTTGGTCTTTTAGGGTCACACTAAACGTTCTTGCTTGCAAGCCTGCAGCAAAAAAGGGGGTCACATTGAACCCTAGGCCGGTCCGTTATTACGGTTTAGGGTTTGGGGTTTAAGGTTTAGGGTTTAGGGTTTAGGTAAGTTATGTTCGCATCTTCCCAAATTCCTGTAGGACAGCTTCGGAAACGTTCTGGTCCTGCCTCCTGGGGTCAGCGAGGGTGTTCCGGATCTAGGGTTCAGGGCTTTTGTTGGGGGTTTTAGGCTTTTTGGGTTTAGGCTTTATGGGTTTAGGGTTTAGGGTTTAGGGTTTAGGGGGGGTTTAGAAATGCCTCTTGGTTCTGCTTTGCAAAGTCTACCGTTGCTGCCCCCAAAAGCTCTCTATGATGTCGTCTATGTTTTTACCTCCTGCGGACAAGATCCCTCGAACCTCCATCCATTTCCGCAGGATTTTTTGCAACAAAGGTTCGTTCGGAAGGCGTGACACAAAGACCTGCCGGTTCCCTTGCTTCGATGTCCCAAAGCCCTTCGTTTAGAGTGAGCGAAGGCATGGGCATTTGCCGTGAGCCGCCGCGTATGGGCCACCTTGGGAACATTCAAGACGAATTCTGCTTCTCGTGGGACGACGGCGATATCTACCACCAAGGCAGGCGATGCGTCTTGTGGCTTAAGAAATCAAAGTCTGTTTTCTAGATTCTATCACTCGAGTACCATACCCGAAGCCTGACTGACTCCATGAAGCTTGCCAGTGTAGGTCAACAGCGTCAGGGTTTAGGTTTTTTGGATTAGCTAATTTTCTCCACCCTAGACAAGAAAAGCACACTAAAGCCCTAAACCCCAACCTGCTAAACCCTAAACCCTGTACCTCCCAGACCGTGAAAGTTTTGAGCCCAAAAGCCATAAATGTCCACCACCATGAGACCTCGTCTGGCATGTCCGAGCTTGCGAGAGCATGTCCTCCATTCCCCAAGGTTTAGGGTTTAGGGTTTAGGGTTTAGGGTTTAGGGTTTAGGGTTGAATATGTAGGAATTCCCTAAAAGCAACACAAGCCCGCCCGCAGCGGCTTAAACTCCAAAGCAAAACGAAAGCCCCATAACACCCCCAATAGCAGCCAGCACTCTTTGTTTCCCCTAGAAAACTCGAGACGCCTAGCCGCCGGCCTGCCCGCAGGCGTGCGATATAAACCTGGAGGATTGACAAGGCGTGAGTCTCCTTTAGGGCTGAGGGCTTGGGCACTCGGGAGATACTCTGCTGGATAGTTTGGGAGGGGTCTTGGGGTGGGAGGGCGGGCGAGGAGGACGAGGAGGAGGCTGCAATTGTGAGGAGAACGGTCTAAGACAGGCACACCGAGAGACGGGGGATGCCTTGTTTGCTAGGGTTTAGGGGTTTGGTGGTTAGGATAGGGGGTTTACGGTGTGGCCTAAGGTTGGGGGGTTGATATTCTTTTGAAGGTTTATGGTGTTCTCTTTGGGCCAGGGGCCTCATTAGGGCAGGCGGGGTATGTTTGAATTTTCAGAAAAGCAATGAGCCCTAAGGTATGCTATTCTGATGTTCATTCAATGCCCCTATAATACGTGGGTTTATCTTCCGGCTGGAGATTCATATTGGGGTGATCTGCGTCTTTGTTCATCGGGCTTATGCCTGGAGGAGGCAGTGTTTCAAGTGTGTGGGTTGCTTCTCCTTCTCCAGGGAAAGCCACCGGTTCAGGGTCTAGAAGAGGTTCATGTTGAATTAGGGTTTCGGGTTTAGGGAGTTTAGGGTTCATATTGAATCGTTGAGGATAAGCATTCCTGCAATATAGCCCCCGGGGCCCGAGACTTTGGAAATTGTGTTGCATGCCTTGTTGTGGACAATGCAAAACTTCGCCCATCAATAGTGCGAAAGTTTGTAAGACCCTCAACCACCCTTTATGTCAGTAACTAGTCACTAGTCTGCGAAGACCGAAGCCCTCATCTAAGCATTGTCGTCAAAACAATCGACTGCCATTGAACGTTAAGCCCCCAAAGCCTGTTCTGCCTGTCGCCTCTAGTGTTGTAGAAGGCCTCAGCCATGTGAAGGTCGCATCCCATGGCCATTGGCGATCGAGTTGGTGTGATCGTGGACCTGAGGCAGCCTAAACCCTGAACCCTAAACCCTAAACCCAGCATAGTTCAGGGTTTCGTTTTCGATTTAGTTTAGGTGTTCACGAGGGTTTTTGACGGGCCCTGAGCCCTAAACCCTCATCCCTCAACCCTTCAATCGATGTTGTAGGGATTCTATGGTGGCGTCGAGATCTTTAACCCTAAACCCTAAACCCTAAACCCTAAACCCTAAACCCTAAACCCTAAACCCTAAACCGTTGTAGATTTTTGGAATCTCCGGGTCTTCGGGGAACTGAGAAAATACAGGCATTCCGGGGGGTTCCTTATCGTAGTTATCCTTGAAGAATCCACCCCTCAAAATTAGAGCTTTTTCTATTATTTCAGGCCCCGTTTAAGGAGCCCTTAAAAGCCCGATAATCATTCACCTAAGGCCGCTAGGGTTTTGGGGCTGAAAGTCGGTAAAAACAGTTGTGGGCGGTGGGGTGGGGTGGGGGGGGTGTGGGGGGTGTTCCCTGTAAAGTGGGTTGAGGGTTCTATAAACGGCTCTATGACGGGATCTCTACGGGCGCTGTATGGGTTCAGCGCTGAGGGTATTTTTCGGAGGTTATACGGGCAGACGACACTCAATGCCTGCGAAGGCCCCTCCACAGCTGGCATGCTTGATTCGAAACTTGGAATCCTAAACCCTAATCCCTCAACGCTAAACCCTAATCCCTCAACCCTAAACCCTAATCCCTCAACCCTCAACCTTAAAGGGGCTTCAACCCCAAGCCCTAATCAGGGAACGCTTCCCAAACGCCCAAAAACCGGTGGGTCAGAGGTCGACTTGAGCAGCTGTCGGCTTTGTATCGGTTTAGGGTTTAGGGCTTAGGGTTTAGGGTTTAGGGTTTAGGGCTCCAAACAGGGTTTAGGGTTGAGGGTTTGAGAAGAGGTTGGGAGTAGACTATACCCATAGGCCCCATAGTAGTTCCTTTTTGGGGGGTACCTTATAGGATTCTATATATTGAACCCCCAAAGGGAACTACTTTAGGGCCTATGGGTAGACTTTTGTCTGCTTATAATCAGACCAGGATCTACAGGAATAGTACAGGCTCGACTATAGGGTTTAGGGTTTAGGGTTTAGGGTTTAGGGTTGAGGGTTTAGGGTTGAGGAGGAACCCGAAGGGAATGGCATTGATCATTATTCGGGGTTTAGGCTTCAGGCTTTAGGTTTTTAGGGTTCATCTTCTGGGCTTTGGAGTACCATACTTTAATACTTTTTTGGGACCTGTTCCTTAAAGGAACCATTATGAAATAAAAGTCTATACTTTTTTCTCCCTGGTTACTTCGAAGCCGAGTCTTGTTCGGGCCTTGAAAGCAGACTAAGAGATTGACACAACAGACAGCCTCTTGACTGTGTCTCTCTGGTATTCTTGTTTCTATCTACGACTTTCCCTGGCCTCCGAGAGCCTAAACACTAAACCCGAGCTTCGTTTTGGCTGTGCACGGCGTCTCGAACCATCAAAGCAACTTGTCCAGATGCTGACATCGTAGTTTGTTTTGCGTTCTTGTACGACCGAGATGTACAGGGTTCTACAAGTTCTACAAGGGTTTCTTTGAGGTTTTACGGTCTCGGGTTCCTTTAGGGGATCCGACGGGAGTTGGTCGTCCTCGCTCTCCTGCCAGGCATCCCGTTCCGCCCCTCGAGTTCGTCCTGAATCGAAAATCTACGGGTCCCTTCTTGAAGCAGATCGTGAAGAAGATGGAAGGACATGCCTCCATAAACTATCATAAGATGGGGCGCCTTTCGTTATCCTAAACCCTAAACCCTGAACCTTTTTTGAGTGATACTCTATCAGGGTCTGGGTCTAGGGTTCGATAGCGACTTCCTTTTGCATCTTGATCTCCAAAATGCCCGTGACTCGTAACCCACTCTCCCTCAGGAATGATTCCGAAACGGTCCTATGGGGCCATTGAGGAAAGTGCGATGGGTCCACTAATCAGCGGTGTACATGACTGCGAGGGGCCGCGGGCACTTAACAAGTTAGCGTTTCAGCACGCGTCACTGGAGAACTTCTAACGCGTGACAGGCTCAGGTTTCCTAGACTGCTAGAGTCTAGGGGTTTAGCGGTTTAGGGTTTAGGGGTTCAGGGGTTTAATGTGGTTTTAGGTTTATAGGGCTTCACAGAGCCCTCAGCACACAGTCCCAGTAAGCCATGAAGTAACCCTGATAATGAAGCACGGTGTGAACAGTCACCCTGATATTGTGTTAGGTACTGTTTGTCATGCACCACAAAGAACAAGTACTGTCATGGGCGTCTTTTGCTGCACCTTCCTTCGACGTCGATGTCCTTCGGAGTTGAACATCATGAATCTCCGGTTAATGTTTTAAAGGAACAGGCCCAAATTTGAAACTGCTCGGACGTGGACCCTCAAGTTTAGCCGGTCAAGGATATCAGAGATCACTGTGGTGTGCTAGCCTAATTAAGCTTATCGCACCTTTACATGTGGAGGCTCGATTTACCAGTTCAGGCATCATACACTATAGGGGCGGCATCACGACCCACTACTTTCTGGGCGTGGGGGTTGCAGGTTAATCCGATGCTGAAACTCCATGACTTGGAAGCAAGGGTGCGTTTCGAAAGGAGCGGGGATCAACCAACCCGATCCATGACACACGGGGTTTACCGCTCAGGGACTTTAGGGTTTGGGGTTTAGCCTAAACCGCCTAAACCCTAAACTGTTTAGGGCCGTAGTTTTTTAAGAGATTCCATTAGGGTTTAGGGTTTGGGGCTGCAGGTTTCAGGGAGCGGTTCACTGGCAGGCCAGGGTGCGGGGAGGACTTGAAAGTCAGCATTATGAACCCAAAGGGTCCGAAGCACCTACATGAGAGTTTCCGGAAATAAGGAGTAGGGTATCTTGGGGTCCTTGTAATAAGGAAACTCTATACTCTTTAGGGTGCTATATGATGGTCCACTATTGCGGAAACCCCCCAAATTGGGGGATGCTTACCCAAACCATAATAGTACTTCCCATTATAGAGACCTTAATAGTTTCTATTATATGGGTGGTTGTCAAAATTATGGTCCCTTTTTGGGTCCGTAATATAATACGGCACCTAATAGTTAGGGTACCCAAAAAGGGACCCTAATTTTGACAACCACCCATATAGTAGTACATAGAATCCTTTGGGGAGTGCTCCATATGAAGGATGGATGCCTGGCACTGTTGGGGGGGGGAGCGCACACTTTGACCGGATTCTCTATGGACGGCCATGGTTTAGGGCTTCAGGGTTTTAGGGTTTAGGGTTTTCAAATGGTCCTCTTCCTCCAGCACCTTCGCGGGACACGTGCACCGATTTTGGCACAGAGACCATACGCAAAAACCCTAAACCGTAGACCTCAAACCTTAAACCCTAAACCCTAAACCTTATAAGCCCTAAACCCTAAACCCTATAAACCCTAAACCTTAAACCCTAAACCCTCAAACCCCTAAAGCCCTTGAGCGTCAGATGTTGGGTCTTACGGTTTGGGGTTCAACGTTGAGGTTTTGGGATAGGGCGCATGTCTTGACGCCTTTCAAGGTTCTTAGGTTTAGGGTTTCGGGTTGAGGGAACCCTAGGCCCTAAACTTAGGGTTGTCGTAGGTAAAAGTTGGAGTATACTGCATCCTAAACCCATATTCTGATTATTGAGGCTTCGAAGTACGGGTTTAGGGTTTGGGGTCTAGGACAAGTACTAGGGTCCAGGACAAGTACAGGCCATCAGTTCCTGACCTTCAATCGCCCCGAAACCCTTAACAACCCTAAACCCTAAACCCTAAATCTCGGACACTTATTGCCATGCCTGCATTTGCGAGTGTGTGAGTCGAAACCCTAAACCCTTAACCTTATCTAGAACCCCGGTTGTATCACACATTAAGAACCTTAAAGGAGCCTTGAGGCCCCTCTGTTTGAGAGGCGCCTAGGTCCGATGCAAGAGATGACTCCTAAATGGGAGTTTCCGGAAACAAGGGGTTTAGGTTTAGCGTTTAGGTTTTAGGGTTTAGGGTTTAGGGTACCTTACTTTGGGGTCCTCATAATGAGGATCCTAGTATGTAGGGTACCATATTAGGGTCCCCTATTTTCGGAAACCCTTAAATGGCCTACATCTGCAACCCTCTTCGCTGCACCCCTCAAACATCCTATGCCCTGACCCGCCAAACGTCATTAAACAAACCCGAGACCCCAAAACGCTAAACCCCTAAACCCCCTGGGGAGGGGCTCCGGGGGAGCAATGTAACCCAAAGGAGCCCCGCTCTACCCCTGCGTGAGCTTCTGCCTGAACCATGTAGGCCGCGGCAGATTGTGGCGCTGAGGGCTCGGGAAGGGTTTAGGTTTGAGGGTTTAGGGTTTAGAGGGGTCGATGGCCCCACGGTTTAGGGTCTAGGGCGGGCAATTTGGAGGCACCTCGTTCAAAGAATAATTTTTCGGTGGCCTTTTGGTTCAAAGGTTTCGGATTTTGGGATTTGGGGTCTAGGGTTTAGGATTTTGGGGCTTTCTTGAGGTCTTGGTTTTAAGGAACCCTAAACCCTAAACCCTTTAAGGGCTGCCGGCCCGAGACCCCCACTCTAAACACCCAAATTGCTCGAGCCCGTGGATGCCTGCGAGTTTCAGAACATAAGGGACCCACACCGTCAATCTCGACCCTGAATAGTAATAATATAGGGACCTAGATAATTACCAATACTATTTTGGGGGGGCTCCTTATTATATTATATAGTTTAATGGCCCCAAACCCTTTTCTAATTATTGAGGCCCCTATATTAGTAGGATCCGGTTTAACAGGAATCCTTCATCCCAAGTCCGCGAACCCCCCCCCAAAATTATACTCTGACGCTATGCCGACTAAACGAGCATGCATAAATACTCTCAAAGGTAGCCTTGCTTTGAGGAAAGTCCCGTATGAGCGGATCGTTCCGACTACCTGGAATCGTCGAGGTTCCGCGTGAACCATAATCCAATCGCCAATGGAAGTCCCCACCACCCTACAGATCACGATGAAGCACCTTTGGTCGTGGTGCCAGACGTGACGACAACTCATAGCCTCACCACTATAAATCCTAGCAAAACCCGAAACTTCTAGAATGTCAGAGCTCCTTCTTATGAATGGTTTTATATCTACCCATAGGCCCCATAGTAGTTCCTGTCTGGGTTTCATAGAATCCTATAAGGTAACCACAAAAAGGAACTACTATGGGGCCTATGGGTAGTTTCCTCAAAACAGTTAAAACAGGAACGTCGGGGTTTTTACTGCAGAGAGGGGGGTTCGGTAGAGCCCAAACCCCAAACCCTAAACCCCAAACCCCAAACCCCAACCCCCCCCCCAAAGCTGGTTGCCAGGCTGTTTTGCTAGGCTGACGCATCTTGGGCCTCCTCCCGAGGACATTGCGCCACGGCATGGAAACTCAGTAGCTGAGTGGACACAGTTTACACTTTTGGGGATAGTATTACTTGCTATCAAACTGAAAGTGTACACTTTTCTAGGCTGATGAACTCAGTAACTAAGGAAATTAAAAGTTCCGGAGTACCATACTTGCATGTTTTTTGTTTTGAGGACCTGTTCTGTAAAGTCATCAAATAAAAGTTCAGTGTTTCTCCATGGTTATTTGCAGGATAGAATGTACCCATAGGCCCTAAAGTAGTTCCTTTTTGGGGTTCATATATAGAATCCTATAAGGTAACCCCAAAAAGGAACTACTATGGGGCCTATGGGTAGGCTTCAGGGGTAAAGGGCTTCGGCTTTCTTAAGAATTTCATTCATGGTCCCCCACGACATTTCTCCTGAACGCCCCAAATCCTAAGTCCGTGCGGGGCGGAAACCCATGACCCGTTGAGCCTTTGATTGAGGTGCAGGGTGTCACGGATTGGGTTCTCTAGAGGTTAAGTTTGCGCTTTGACGTTGGGGTCTGGTGGATTAGAGCGATTATGAGATTCGCAAGGTCCTGCTTGCCCATAGGCCCCATAGTAGTTCCTTTTTGGGGTTACCTTATAGGATTCTATATATGAACCACAAAAAGGAGCTACTTTAGGGCCTATGGGTAGAGAGATGAGCAGGGTCCTGCTTAGTGCTCAGAGTTCAGGGAGCCTTTACTCCTTTCTTTGCCGTGCCTACGGGCCTACAACCGAAACCCCAAAAACCTTCAACATGCCATGCCAGAATTGCGCGAGTGTGTGAGCCGAAAAAACCCAAAAGCCTTAATCCTTACACCCTAAACCCTAAATCCTTGCACCCTAAGCCCTAAACCAGAGGAACTCCCCATGCAGCAAGGTTTACGGTTTGCGCTTACTATCATGGTCGGACTGGCCGGTAATTGCAATGTCACCCTTCATTGTCCCCTGTACTTCTACGATCCTCTACGATATTGTTCACAAAACTCTGTTCTAAACCCAAAACCTCTAAGCCCCTAAGCCCTCGACCTCCCTGCATCAGTTCGGGTAGTATGAACTTCGCCTCACCTTTTTCTTCTACATAGCTTGGGTTGAAGGTTCCCGTGCTAGAATGCCACCTTAAAATTTGGTTTTGCGAGCTTGGCAGTTGGTTGATAGAGGTTTGAAGAACCTAGTAATACTATTCCATACTATTCCGCAGCTTTTTGTCGTATCCCCTTAAGCCCTATGGCCTTTATTACAGTGTGAAACTGTCCACCCGAAACAGTGAACTGGAGCCACAAGCTAAACCCTAAACCCTAGAC